ATTTGAAATTATTCATATTATTTAAACACATTTCGATTGCATTCGAATTCATTATTCAATGTAATAAAGCTAGAATTTACAGCTGTGTGTATAGCAGAAATGAAAGCCTCACTGTGTCATGCACTGAGGATCCTATGCGTTAATGAAATTCATTTAATCTCCTGTATAGAAGGAGCTGGTGCTTTATCCAAACAAGAACGGTTCGGTCGGGAGTCTGCTCAAGAAGGCAGAAAACTTTGTGGAGTGGACCGAAGACGGTTCTGGAAAACTAAGGTAGGGCCGTCGCATTGCACTTACACTGAGTTGTACTGTAGTACAGGCGTGATGGTGTTCTTTTTTCTTCATGGCGTCGTGTCTAGGAAAGATTAACATTCACGGATACAGTGATACAGAAACACCTCGGTTAGCTATCGAGACGCGCTTGGGGGAAATGGACAGCGTTCCGCGAAGCTGTTTGGATATGAGTGTGCATATGTGCCACCAGTGCGCACTGGTTGGCAGAGCGTATTAAGAAATATGGCTGCTTTTGGCTTATTGTGCTCTGCGCTCAGACTTGTCTCTAACTCTTGTCTGACAATTTCATTACTCGAAAAATAATTCCATGGTAAGGTAAAAAGTACAAGCGTGATGCCCCAAGATGCAAGCACACTATAGCAGAATAGTACTCTGTGGAGACAGGACGAGCCAAGGCTGTCATTGTGATTGCAGTTGTTCTCATTCGCCTCATCTCTAACAGGTTGGTGGAGGTCGTCAGCAACAAGGTGTTCTGCATACAGCGCGACGATGTGCAGCTGGAGTGTCTCAACACGGGCGGAACGAAGTCGTACAGGGTCGAGGAGGTGCCCAAGGAGGAGCTGATCATCGGCGACGATGAGATGCTCGTACACGTAGCCCACTTCCAGAAGGTATGAGCGCGCGAGGGTGAGATGTGTGTAGTGTACGTGTAGTGTAGCCCACTTCCAGAAGGTATGAGCGCGCGAGGGTGAGATGTGGGTAGGGTACGTGTAGTGTAGCCCACTTCCAGAAGGTATGAGCGCGCGAGGGTGAGATGTGGGTAGGGTACGTGTAGTGTAGCTACCCACTCCAGAAGGTATGACGTCTGCGAGAGTGAGAATGTGTGTACGTGTAGTGTAGGCCGCACTTCAGCAAGGTATGATAGCTGTGCGATGGGTGAGACTGTGTGTATGTAGTGTAGCCACTTCCAGGAAGGGTATGAGCAGTGCGGGTGAATGTGGTACGGTAGTGTAGCACCACTTCCAGAAGGATATGAGCAGTGCGTACGGAGTTGAAGATGTGGCGCTGTGTAGTGTAGTCCCACGTTCCAAAGTATAGAGCGGCGCGCATGTGTGAGGTTGCGTACATGTAGTGTAAGCACACTTCCAAAGGATAGCGTGCGGGGTGAGGTTGGCGTACTGTAGTGTTAGCCCACTTCCAGAAGGTAAAGAGGCGCGAGGGTGAAGGTTCGTACGTGTAGCCCACTATCAGAAAGGTAACATTCGCCGCGAGGTAAAGAATGATGCTACCGTGTAGTTAGCCCACTGTTCCAAAGGTATGAGCGCGCTAGGGTGAGGTGGGCGTACGTGTAGTGTAGCGCCACTTCCAGAAGTATGAGCCGCAGCGGTGAGTGTGCGAGCGATGTATGTCAGCCCACTTCCAGAAGGATGAGCGGCGCGACTGGTGAATGTGCGTACGTGTAGTGTGGCCCACTATCCAGTAAAGGTATGAGCCGCGATGGGAGGTGTGCAGTACGTGTATTAGCCCACTTCCAAGAAGGTATGAGCGTGCGGGTGAGGTGTGCATACAGTGTAGTGTAGCCCACTTCCAGAAGGTAGAGCGGCCGGGGGTGAGGTTGGCGTACGTGTATTGTCGCTACGCACTTCAGAAAGTCATGAGCCGCGCAGAAGGGTGAGGTGTGCTACGTGTAGTGTAGCCACACTTCCAGAAGGTATGACGCGCGAGGGAGATGTGCGAGTACCTGTACTGTACTGGGACAGTCCAGAAGGCATAGCAGCGCGAGGGTGAGATGTGCGTAACGTGTAGTGTAACACCACTTCCAGAAGGATTAAGCGCGTGAGGTGTGAGATGTGGCGTACGTGTAGCCCAGTTCCAGAAGAGTAGACTGCGCGAGAGGTCGAGTATGTGCGTGACGTGGTAGCCCAGTTCCAGAAGGTAAATCGCTGCGAACGGTAAAGTGGTGTACGGTAGTGTAGCCCACTAAGAGCGTGCGAAGGTGAGGTGTTGTGTACGTGTAGTGTAGAGCCCACTTCTGAAAGAAGCCTACCTGCGCGCAGGGAGTGCCGGGGTTGTCTGTGGCACGATGGAGGAGACGGTTTCTAGTCGTGCGTACAACTGGGGAATCACGGCCTGAAAACATGCCATGTCAAGCGAATGCCCTTTGCACTGCTGCGCAGCTTATATGGAGCTACTTATACGAAGTTGATAAATTACGTTGATTCCACTCATAGACCACTTTTCACCATTACATGTACCCAGTTCACATAATATATTCGTTGTCTGACATGTATTTAGCTGAGGTGTGGTGTGAAATTCATGTCGATGTTTTGCTATTTTAGGAGTCTTTCGCACTTGAGCTAAGCCATTCTTGTTTTAAACAGTAAAAAACGTAAATACAGGTTTTTAGTATTTGTAATTGTAAAAGTG